TGGTATCTCGTTGTTTTCAAGATGCAGCCTGATATTTGTTGCTTTCTTGGTTGTTCAATTGTGGCTAAAATTTGTGTGGTGGGTGGAAGATGTGTTTATTGTTTGTTGAGTCATTGTTTAGACACCCTGCAGCTTGAAATGGTATGGTCCAAATCCAAATTCGATATGGCGGTGTTGAATATCTGTGCGATATGGCAGTGTCGTCTAAAAACATGGCATCAAAATGATTTCTGTTTATTTATTTACTGTTGTAGATTCTGAGAACTAGCCATTGAATATGATGTCGGGAATAAATGGTTTTCTGAACAAGCTTTATTAATTATTGCTGGCAATATTCCAGTATGAATTGGAAGCAAACTGTGACACCAAATCTAGTCGTTGTGTTTTTATGCTTCTAAAATATTTGTTTTAAAAAAAAATTAAATAGAAATATTATGTGTATTTTTGTATGTGGAAACATGGCTGGCCCACTAAAAAATATGAAGAAGTGAGGTCTGCAGCTCTAGACTGACCCCCTCTATGGCTACAAGTTTCTATTTTTTTTAATGAGGAAATTACAAGATTGACATTCACATGCAATCATAATAAATCGTTTGCAATTTCTCAAATTTAAAGTGTCAAACACAAACAGTTTTAAAGCCCTGTGTTTATTCTAGCAACAATTTTAGATTGTTTGATTAATAACAAGATTATGCATTCTTACAAACTTTCAGAATATATATGTTTGATTTGGTGCCCACACTTCAAAACAGTTAACGTCAGAACGTATTATGTATTCAGACTATTAATTGTGTTTGGTAGTTTTTAGTTAATCTATTGTGACATCTGACGATGCTGCTACAAAAGCCGATTAAAGTAGAGATGTAGTTTACCTGACAGGTATTTTAATTAGTTAAATAGAAACCAAGATGACCTCCCTTGTCCACAAAACTATATATTTTCGGAAAGCTTATTGTATGAATTTTAAAGTTTTGTTAGTATTTTATTTTTATGGACACTGTATTTTGAAATATGCACAAAAATGTGCTTTTTTGGTCAAAAGTTCTGGAATGTGCACTAGAAATAACCTGAGATAATTGCTAATTTGCATAACAATTCACTCAGTAAGAAGTTTGCTAATGATCATAATTATAATGGCTGTTACAGTTTCAAATTTAAATGTATTATTGTTTTGTAAAAAGATAAATAGAGTGCATAATATGGAGATCCCGTCATTTCTTTTTTTCACCATGTTTTTTTTTTATTATTTATGTACGGCCTTACTAAATCTTGCTAAGCATTCAAAAGTAATAATTTTGCACCTGTTATATCTATATTTTAAAATCGTGTTTTGAGTATGTTCCACTATTCACAATTCTATAAAATTTCAACAGTCTATAGCCAAGACTTTTTGGATGATAAAAAGCGAAAAAAAAAATCACTCCCAAGTGCCTACGAACCAGCATCTCTACCTTAAACAATATTTTTGTGTAGTATACAACACTAGAGGGCGCGATTTCACATTGTTGCTGTCCGGGTGTATTATAGTAGCACGTAGTGTTCGTACACATAGAATTCCCGTTAAAGGGGCACCTTCCAGTTAAGATTAACTTCACAACAAATTTACTTTCTGGATTAAAATAACAATGGATAACAAAAGATAGATTAACATTGTAAACAACATAAACAATAGTGTCCCATGATTCTTTGGTGCAATCCATGGGATTGAGCGATTCCCCTTTAAGATCTGTACATTTTCACAGGCCAGTTAATATATGGAAAGATTAGAATGACAATGCGCAGGTCTAGAGTTAATAAATGACAACCCCTTATTAAGGTGGAGTTACATGAGTGTTTGGGAGTAACTGTGTAGATGTGTCAACAGATTAAGTAAACAACTAAATACGCTTTGATTATGCACACTCACTCTAAAAGGTTATTTAAAAATATTAATTTTACATCAGTAGATCTACCTACTTATACGTATTTTTAATGTTAACACTTGCCTTGTCACAGACGGAAGCATCAGACTCGCTTCCCCGTAAGGGGAATCCTCCACCTTGCCCCTTTCTTCTATGGGGGGAAGGGCCTTTTCGCTCCCCCAGAAGAGTGGGACGCTTGCCTCCTTGCTGGTTCGGCCATTGGGTGCCGACATTGGCCATCTCGATTTCTCAGCTTGGGGTCTCATATGTACCATATTGTCAGCGGCTTCCCAAAGCTTCCCAAAGCTCCTAATTTCATTATATATGTCTCCCCATCAAAGAGGGTGGAGGAGGTTCAGTGCCGAACGCTATCCAAACGGTTTTCCAGTGTAGCACGCCCTCTGCAGTTTGTAGTGACGGAGCTCTTTCTAAAATTGACAAGCCGTTCATTAAGTGGCATCGCTGAATTAGTGGAATTTTAACTGTTTACTTCTTGTTTAAGTCTCGTTGTTTTTCGTTTTATTTCTAATATAGATGAATATGCAATATGTTTGTTTATAAATTACATTTCGCCCAAAAACAGTATAATGCATGCTGCACACCATGTAATGCATTTGATTGCAACATAATATTGCTCTACCCATTTTTGATGGAATAATTCCTTCAATTCTAATTTATTGAAGAGCAAGTTGTGGGTGTTAATGGTAGCATTACTGGAGTGCAGGAGTTTTGTAATACAATATTCCTGATGAAAAGCCGTTTATTTTTGCCAAACAAATGAAAACGTCAATGATCACAATGGGCTATTTTGTGAAGAGTTTACTCCTAAAATACTATTTTACCTATCTTAGTTATAAAATTGGTAAGTAATTTCCTGAAGGACTTTGAAGTGAAGATGCATAATAGTTGCAAACTTGAAAGTAATGATAATTTAAAAATGGGATTTAGTTGAAAAAACAACCTAATTTTTAATTTCTCCACTCATCAGCTCATGATTGAAACAGATAGAACTGATTTTCTCATGTATAGGTATAATGTAACTCAGGACTAGTATCTTTTTATTTTATGTACAGAATTCTGTGACCAACCTTCATTGCTAACGATTGTAGGGAAATGCATTTATCTCAACTACATTTATCGCAACTAAACCAAAACATTTTAAAGGGAAATTGTTTGTATTATGCTAAGAATCTTCTTTAGCGACTAAATACTGTATATATTTAGAAAAATATTGTGTACATGAATCACATGGCCAGTTTATGATTAATACAATTATGACACTGTATGTATGACGATTTCACGTTCGAAGACTCCTCTGCTATATTTAGTCCAATCTGAGTCCGATTTCTCCACCATATGCAAACTCGTTCTATTGTGCTTGTATGCCCTTTATCTACAAAGACGAGGGTTTATCGAATAAGCTTTTTGTCGCTCCAAACACTAAGTAGAAACGTATCATAGCCAAAAATCTTTGGAATATTAAAAGACAGTATGTCTATAATATGGTTGTGTATATGAACTAGGAGTTTTCTTTGTTAGGTATTTCCTTCGTAGCTAGGACAGTATTTTTTAAATAACCTGAAATGTCGTAACGAGTCTAATTTTGATTGGTCGAGAAAAGCCGGCTAGTTATTGTTTTTTAAACAATTGTGCCCGGGTCTGACACAATGGTTGTCATGTTCCCTCATTTCAGAACGGCTGAGATTTACTCCACTGTGTAGACGGTATACTAATACTAATAACTAAAGTAGATTCTGCCTAAACCATCAACACACTATTGTCACAATCATAGTATATTGTACTGAATGGAATGTTTTCAGATTCATAGCCGAATTCACTAGAAATTTAAGTTTTTGAACTATTGATAAAATCATGCACGCGCATCTAGTATGTCAATCATGTCGATGGGAACTATGCAGATTAATGCGTATATTTTGTGATGTAAAAGCCTGATGTCCACATCTTAACGTCCAACACGCCCGCTCAGATTTTTGGTTAAATCTGGTGACGCTAATCGTTTATGCCCAACAGGCATGCGTATACTCTTGCAATCCAAGTGACGCATGAGCGGTTGGGACTCCAATAACGCACAATTTCGAATTTATCTTATTCAAACATTCTATTATACACGCGTTGTATACTACACATGGTTCACATCGAACACAACGCGACGACTGCGTGATGTAAATATACTTCCGGTTTTGTAGTTTTAAAATGTTTGTAGCAAAGGTAGCGCAATTATTCATAGTGAAACTAGTAAATGAGTTTGTACAGACAATTTATATCATTAACCCAGTTTTGATATGGGGCTATGCTACGTATACAACGTGAGTAAGGTGCATCCTCTTTTATATATCAAACTTGTTCATATTTCAGGAATGAATCAGTGAGACATGGTTCCAATTTTCCAACCTTTATTTGACAATTTGAAGCAAGAATTCAATTATGATTATACATGACGTAACAATCCCTTTCTTTTTATCTGTAACGGGAAATTCGAATTGCCAAATTATGACAGAACAACACCATTCCCGAAGAAATAACCTAATATTGAACACTATGTGCTAGCAAAATACCTTAACATTAATATAACACACGCTGAGAAGATGAAAACTGTGCCCAGCATTTCATAATACGGGACTCTTAATCGCACCTGTAATTTAACAAAACAAATTACCCTTTTAATTAATATATTGCAAAGTGAATTAAATTCATTGTTGTTTTCGATCGGTTTAAAAACTCGGATAGTCAAATTAAAAAAATCGCAATTATCGGAAACTATAAAGAAAACAACTATAAAAGAAAGCTATTTGGTATTGAACAGTTCAACGAGGACAGTTCTACTGTTTTATAATTGATTTCTTTGGCAATTCACATAGCTTAGACACATTGGTATGGCATATGCACTAATATATAGGTTGCTATTGTAGCATAATAAGTAACTTTTGGAGATTGTCTACCACGTTTCACACCGCTGCTACATTAAATGGAAAAAAATGACTTAAAAGCTATTCATTCAACTGTAACATCAACATGCAGCCTTTTTCAGTTTTATATAAACTGATTCTATACTTCACTTCCTAGAAAAAAATAACCAACTTACATTATTTCGTTTATCTTCCAGCTCTCACCAAAAGTGGTAACGTCGCTTACTTCAATACCATCGGGCGTCTGAAAGTCATTACGTTTGTCACCATCAGCATTACCTAGCAAACCACAGAGTTTGCCATTGTAATCAGTGCCAGAGATTGTTGTTTTTAACAGATGCTTGCTCAGTGTCCATTCCAGAGTGAATGTTGTGTCTTTGGACTTGAACATCAATGTAATCAAGTGCTCGTCTTCCTTGATATGTATAACAGTTGAGTCCACATGCTTATTCCCTATGCTTCCCTATAAATAAATAAAGTATTAAATATTGTAAACACCAAAACATTGAAGAAAATGTCATTAACACTATGTGATTCAAAATATAGCACACTTTTGAATATCGGATATTATAACTTACTGTAACTACATTGCGCCGATTGACAATAGCATATTGGTTTCCGACAGTAACATTGAAGGACACAGTTCTTGTCTTAAATTGTTCGGTGTCAACTCTCGGTTCAAACTTAGCTGTGACTTCAAATTCAGGATGTGTTGTACAGGCTTTGAAAAATGTATACCAGCATACACCTTGCCAACTAAATCGACGTCCATCAAATGTCGTCATGTGTGGATCACCAGACGCACTTCCTTCTGTAACATACATTGTTATGATAATTACATCATACATTTGTCGAACTTCGAAAGTCATGGTATATCTTAAAATAACAACATTACCTTCAAGTACGAATGGGATTTTAAAATGAACAGCAAAAATCGAAATTCTATTTTCATTTTGAGATGTTTAATTTCATCGAATTGCTAGGCAGGGCTTTCCGTTTTTTCCTTCTTCATATTTTCAATGGACGGCGAGCTCATCACGAAATAATAACACATCAAAGACAAGTAGAGACAACAATATTGTTGTGAAAATTCCAAAAACTCAACTATTGTCCTATCAAAAACATTGTCATAAGTTCGTCCATGGGTACAAGCGCGTTTTTGGATTAGTAGAAACTGGGTTT